GAGATTAAGAAAGTTGCTGAGGCATGGGGTGCTCAGGTGCACCAGAGGAGTTCTGAAGTCTCCAGAGACTCTACTTCATCATTAGAAACTATCCAAGAGTTCCTCGAATACCATAATGGTAGGTACACCTGCAACCCACAGCTGCCCCTCCCCATCACGCAAAACTGCTGAAGTGTGAAAGCATCAGTTTTTACGCTGTTGTTTCACAAGCATCATTCTTCTGCCACACAGTTGAAAATTCTTTGGCTTTTGTTTTCACAGAGGTGGATATAGTTTGCAACATCCAGGCTACATCCCCGTGCCTCCATCCATTCGATGTGAGGGAGGCCTTAAAAAAGATCACAGAGGACGGCTATGACTCCGTCTTTTCAGTGGTCAGGAGACACCAGTTTCGGTGGAAGGAGGTAGATGAATTATGTAAGTTAACACATGTTTGACTGTTATGTGCATGCTGAGTTCACAGACAGTTGTTCATAGCATGCACTGTTCTTGAGCTAGTCTACAGGCCATGTTACGTTTGGAGGTCTGAAGCAATTGGCAACCTCTGCGCACTGTGTGCCTCACCATTAGCTGAGCCTGCTCTGTGATTTTATGTGGCCTTCCACTTTGTAGGCGAGTTGCTGTCTTTCACAGTTGCTTCCACTTGGATATAAAACCACAAACAGCTGACTGTGAAATATTTAATAGCAAGGAAATTTCACAACTGGACTTGCTGCACAGGTAGCATCCTGTAGGTGTAGTAATAGGTGTTTGATTTTATACACCTGAATTCAATTATTTGGATAAGTGAGTGAATAATATTGACATTATATTGTATCTTAAATGACATTACAACAGCCTATTTGAAGTAATTTTAGACAGTCTTGGTTTGTTGATGTTTTATTTGTTGTTTTGCTAAATAAATCTATGTGCATATCTTTACAAGTTGCAGTCTGTCAGTTCTGCAAAAATCTATTTTTTTGTCAGTGTGGACCTACTTTGAATGTGTCAGTGGACCTCCACCTTAGTAACTTATTAACTGGGATGAAACAAATCCTACTGATGCAACTCAAATATTCTCCTTTCTGAACAAACAACTGATCACTCACGGCCTTTGAATTTTAGATATTAGAGTGGCATCAATTAATTAATTAGATATCAGTTGGTATGGTGGTATTGTGTGTAGGTTGTCTGTCACAGCAGGCCCAACTTTACATGTTAAAGTGGTTTACTGGCTTGGCCTCAAATATGAGGAACAACCATCTGGCTGCTTTTGTTCTGTTCCTCTAGTTAAAGCTCTTTGCATTAAACAAAGAAGTTTGCTCCCTAAATTCCCACAGTCATCCTCACTGTCTAGTCAAAGACTTATAGCAATGCAGGACTATAACTCTTGTATTAGTCGATGTCTGGAAGATCAAGAAATCTTTTTAGAGTTGCTTGTTGTTCTTCACTAGAAATCTGAACTCCTGGTGTAACTGCAAAAGGCTTTCAGGAAGACTGGCGGACTGAGTGGCAACGTGCTGTTCTCATTTTCGTGGAAAACCTATGTACACAAGTACGGATCAGGAATGCTTTGGGCTCATGTTGTAGCTAGTACCACTTCACCAATAGAGGAAAGAATGGATTACCTGAAGGTGAAACTAAAAATGGAAAGATCGGCAAGATGAAGATCCTAGTCCTGAGTGATGAAGGTTTTGCCTTGGCTTTTAAAATTCTGGATACATGAAATACAGAAAATGAGCACTCACTATCAAATTGATAACAACTGATAACTCTGTTATTAGGTTCATTTTATGTTTTTCCTCTTTCCAAATTTAGTTACACGGCTGCTGCAATGATAGCCTGAGTTTCCACTAAGTTTGATTTTTGAAACTCTATTCAGTCATATGCTTTTAATCCTTCAATTTATGTAATTGAGCCTCTTTCCTCCTAGCTGATGAAAAAACTGAGGCTATAAATCTGGACCCAGCCAACCGGCCGCGGCGTCAGGACTGGCCCGGAGAGCTGTGTGAGAATGGCTCGTTTTACTTCACCACAAAAGATCTCATTAAGACGGGACAGCTGCAGGTAATGGGGCAAAACTGTGCCTAATTGTGCCTCAAGTTCCAGTGCATGAAACTACACCATCTTTCATTCAGGTAACTGCATATTTTTGTCACCTTGCATTTTCACCTCTCTAGGGCGGTAAGTCGATCTACTATGAGATGCTGCCGGAGTTCAGTGTGGACATAGATGGAGACATCGACTGGCCTGTTGCAGAACAGAGGGTTCTCAGGTGAGAAGCGCCTCTCAGTCTGCTTTTAATCAACTATCGACTCCTTTTTCTCATTTAATCTGTGCTTCCTCAATTAGGTACGGGTACCCCGGTAAGGTAGTCCGCCTGCTGTTCTGCAATGTTTCTGCATGTTTAGCAGAAGGAATCAACGCTCTGTCTAGTAATACCAGAAACACATCTGCTATTCACATGCTGCAGGAAAAACAAGTGGAGGTTGGCTTTTTTTCATCAGCTGTCTGAACAGAATTGAGTAAACTGACCCATCATGTATAACATTGCCCACAAACTGCCCTCTGTCTTGTTTCACAAGGTCATACTGTTGACCTCCAGTGATGACGCTGTGGCCCAGTCTTTGGCTGCCAAACTTCAAAAAAGGACAGGGTGCCAGGTCATGGAGGTGGGAAAGAAGCCGCTGAACGATTTGCAAGAGGTCATGAAGAACAAGAGTCTGGACTGGAAACATGTGGCATTCATGGGTAAAACAACTGCACTCTTATTTCTTGAGCGTTATCATTTCAGTTTAGCCTCACTATGTTTTTCTGTTCACCTCTCAGGTTTTGATCAAGCAGATGAGAAATTGCTGAAGCTGGCAGGTTTGAGTGCAGTACCCGGGGATGCTCCAGAGTTGGCCTCAAAGGCTGCAAAGTACATCTGCCCCCTTTCTAGGGGATCAGGAGCTGTGTGGGATTTTGCTGAGCACATTCTCCTGCAGAAACCAATGGCAAAACCTCAGTAGGACCACAGCATTTGTAAGAACTTCTAATGGCAGATTCATTTTGATAAATGGAAGAAATCAAAATAATTAAAATTAGTCGTGTATATGTTAGAAATGTCAAGAGATGGGTTTGTAGTAATGGTAAAAAAGCAGATCCTCATTCAATTCTAAGGTTTTTTATATCAGGACATAATAAAATAATCATCTGGTCCTCACCAGTTGTTAAAAATGGGGAAAGGCAACCTTGGATGTGCAAAAACACACGGCCTACTATACTTTGTCCCAGTTTAACAGAAGCTAAGCCAAAATGCAGGAGGTTAGCCGCACCTGCTAGTCAAATTCATTTGATTCATTTATCATGTGTGTGGACCTCTGTAAAAGCAGAGGTTTGACCATTTTTAATGTCCAGAGCTCTCACCTGTGAGTTAACACAATGCCACACGCTTCCCAGAAGTGGACGTCTCATGATCCCAAGGTCGGACTGTGCGATGTTCAAAGAGAGTGCAAAAAACAAACAAACAAAAAACAGAAAAAGACTTGACGAGTATGGCTTGTTTGGAAGGGTTGCTAGCAGAAAGTCTCTTCTGCTTCTAAAAACAATGTGACAGCATGCCTTAGGTTGATTAAAGTGTATCTGAACAAGACTTCTGACCTGGCCAAGGTGGAGATGTTTAGCTATAATGCACAGCACCATGTTTGGAGAAAACCAAGCACAGCATCAGCAGAAACACCAATCAGCTGCCAGACACGGTGGTGTGGTCACTGAGTCGACCACGGCCACCTCTGTGTACCAAACTATTCAAATGTGAGGCCATCTGTCTGTCTTTACTGAAACTGGGTCTTGTGTTGCAGAGAGTTAAAGTCCAGATCTGAACCCTTTAACTGTGTAAAGAACAGTGAGCTAAAATTCCTCTACAGTGATTTGACGCTGCTAAAGTTCATACTTAGTCCTGCTGAAGGTGATTCTACAAGCTACTGATTCATAGACTGCATTTGGGGTTTTTTTTACACATTTTTGTGTTTTTGCATTTTGGTTTAGTTTTATTAAACAAACAATGTCATGTTGTAATATGTCGTGTTTTTGTTCATCTGATGTTGCATTTACCTAATTTTAAGATCTGGTAAAGGCCAGAAAAGTTTATTACATCCTGATATGTAACACCTCAGAGCTGTCTTTTTTTTTTTTTTTAATTTATTACCATCTCTAAGCAAGAAACTTTTCCTGTGTCGAGCAAGAGGAATGTCAGCAGTGTTTTGAATTTTACAAATTAAATCAAATGTTAAGAAAGGCTGTGTTTGCATATGATCACATAAAGTGAAGTATAAACAGGAAGGATCACTCATTTTACTGCAAGGACATCAGAGGCCTAGACTATGGAGCAGAATCTGGGTTTTATTCTGAGTTTCTGTACTACAAAACACATTCACATCTTATCAGAGAACATCACCATGGTAACACATGATGTAGAAAAGAAGATGAGGTGCTAAAATGGAAGTAAAATTAGTCAAATGTCACATAGTAAGGTATTCAACACTCAGTCTTGAAAGGTTTCTTTGACTGTATGCTGATGTCTAGTTCCAAGACGGACAAGAACATATCTGTAGTCCCTCAATAACCTCAGGAGCTATGTAAGCTACACTATATTATGCTGGACAACGCTTTCTATCAAACATAATTAAATCTAAGGAGCTTGGAAAGAAAAGCTTCTGTACTTAAGTTTCTTGAAGACGTTTCACCTCTCATCTGAGAACTTTCTTGAGTTCTGAAGAGCTACGATGACCTGGATGTGCCAGGTCCATCCAGCATTAACTACAGTGTCTTACTACCTCTCCTTATTACTGCAGCGCCTTGTTTCATGCACTTTTAAGGTGACAATCTTATTGTCCACGCACTTGCAACAATAAGGAGCTGTAGCGAAGCATTGAACTTGCTCTGTAGTGCACGCCTCAGCGCTGATTCTAAACAGCATCAACATTTCCAATAGAGTAACTAAAATTGTCTGTAAGCACATTTCAGTGGGTACAGTTGCTGCTTTCTTTGTCATATATGGCAGATAGGTCCTCTGAATCCTTGACAGAAGACATGCAAGAAGCGAACAGTAACAAGGTCAGTGTGGGAAGAGAAAAACATTTCACAGTTATCATGCTGCTCATATCCCCTTATAGCACTGGTTCTCAAATGGGGTTTGCAGGGCTCAGAGTTATTCAGTCCATTTTCTCCCAGTTATCCAAGTCATCAGAGAGACAGACGTTCATACCAACAGCCAGTTTAGAATCACCAGCTTACATAAACCCATGCATGTATTCAGGAGTACTCAGAGAGAACACACAGATATCTGAACATGCAGACTCCCCAAGGAAATATCCTAGAGTGAATTTGAACACTGGATCTTTTGGTTGTGAGGCTGTAGTGCTAACTGCTGTGGTCCCCTTTGCAATCAATTGTAGACCCTGTGCATCTCCGTGATTGGCAGGACAGGCTCAGGCAGCTTTTGTTGCAGACCTGAGTTCCTCTAGAACATTTCTGTGTTTAAGATTGAATTTGATAAAGTAAGGCTGGAGTTTTCAAAGGTCTTTAAAATGCTGCTTTACTTTCCTGCTGAGAAGATTGAAGCTACTTAATAACTGCTAGCTACATCTACTAGCCTGTTACACTTTAGCCTAACCCAAAGACCAGAAATGACGTGGTGTGTGCTGGAAAGACCTTCATATATAACCAAAGGGTTTTTTTGTTTTTTATATTTTTGTTTTTACTTGGTAAAGTTTAGACTTCACGCTGGATTTTGCCGCTTCCACCCACATTGAGGCTTTATGCTTGGTTAAACTGCTCCTGATTTTGTTAAAAATGTCTTTTTTCTGTTTGCAGTTTCATTTCTCGGAGGCGTCTGCTTTGTTGGAAAATCTCATGAATCATTTCTGATTTTAATTTTATTGAACTGATCATTTTGTGATTCTTTTTAAATCATCAAATAAATAAACTTGCTGATGTTGACGGGGTACAAACATCTGACTGTTTGTCATTGATTTTGATTGATATAGTTGATATAGTTCCATCATTAGATTTAGGTTTTAAACAGCAAAGTAAAAACTAATTTGAATTATAAGTGTGTGTGCGTATATGTAATCTATCTATCTATCGAGATAGATAGATAGATAGATATGGTAGGATATTGACATCAGTTGAAAGTGCAGTCAAAAAAATAAAGAAATTTGTTGATTCAATTTCCAAAATGACCAGTGATGGACTTTAAAGCTGTGCTTTTACATTTTATGTACAGATGTATGCGATCATTTGCAGGTTAGCCAGCAGGTGGCAGTGTTGACCTTTACTGACTTTCTGTAAACACAGCAAATCGTTCTCCAAATCGTCGGGATGTTAAGCCTCGGGACTGAGAACGGGCTGCTGTAATTTCAGGGAAACCGCGCTGAACTTAGTCTTTCTGTCTCATGTGGAAAAGCATACAAGTTGATGTAAATGCTGATTATTAATTATAAAATCAACTTTTGTAATACAATTAATACAAATAAATGGTCTGGTGTGAAAGACTCACAAACAAAACCACTCTTTAATGTCGACTCCTGAACAGTCTCTAAAATGTTGAATTATCACAAATGTTAATTTTCGTACATCGTCATCTGACCTGTCACGGTGTAGTTATATGTAGATTAGTTAGAAACAGTTAAAGAATAAAATAGTGTAGACTTTAGCTCAGGCAGGAAGTGAAAACACTGTGTGGACGGAGGATCTGTTGATCTGGGTTAGCTGTGGAGTAACACCCACAACAAATTCACAGAAATAATAAATCATGTTGATGAGTGCTGGTGATTCACAACTGAGCAACTTTTCTGTGCATTCACTTTTTTTGCTCAACAGCGCCACCTTTTGCTTTTGGACCGACGAGCAAATCTGTTGTTTTCCTGGATAATGACTGAATTTCTAGACCTTCCCTTTTTCCTTGCACATATAAGTCATTATGTTTAGTCATGTGCTGCTGCAGTAATAAAGGCTAGTATCCTTTTGTATGTGGTTAGTCATATAATCTAGAAACAACCTGTCCACAAATAAAATTGTTTCTTCCAGGTTATTGTTTATACAGCCTTCCTTTTGTAATTAAAGTAAACAGTGTTGTGATGACTGTTGAGATTTTCAGACGGTCTTCTGTTATTAGCAGAAAACTACTTGATCCTATATTATGTAGGACAGTAGTCGCTAATTATGCAGAGAAATGTTGTTTTTAATATAACAGTGATGTAACAGTGAAATCTACTCTAACAGACGGGAGAAGAAGAAGGAATTGGTTATGTTCTAGTTTATCAGAGTCTATCAGAGTACCAGTGAAATACTCTGATTATTATTGGAGCAGTCCTAAAGACTTAGACTGGGACACTGTAGTATACACTTACTGGCCACTTCATTAGGTACACATTGCTAGTACTTGGTTGGACCATTTTGGCTTTCAGAACTGACCTAATTTTTCATGGCATTGCTTTAACAACATCTCAGAGGAAAATATTCTCAGAGATTTTGGTCCATATTAACATGACAGCATCACACAGTTGCTGCTGATTTATTGCCTCCTAATCCGTGCAGAAGAGCATACAGAGATGCTCACTGCATACTGCATGCTCACGTTTTCTTTTTCAGATTCAGATACTTTTGCTGTAAACCCTAGAGATAGTTATGCAAGAAAATCCCATTCTTCCCGGTTCTGATGCTCATGTGATTGGTTGACTTTGTTGACAGTGAGTCTAATAGAGTGGCCACTAGTGTACACTTTAGTCCGTATTTTGGTCTTTGGTCTCTTTGGTCAAAGTTTCCACAACAGTGTGAAGTGTTTGAATTGGACTGACTTTAGTAATCCTTCATGCACATTTATATTATATTCAAATGAACAATTTATTGCTGAAGCATTTCATTTATTTCTTTCTATGAGGCAGAAATAAAAAGAACAACAGAGGAAAAGCTTATCAATGCAAAGGTTTGAATAAATACGCCATAGTGATTCTGATTCAATGCATCACACTGCAGAAAAGAAAAAGGAAAAAGGAAACGAACAAAAAGGGAATTTGAAAGAATTTAAAAGACAAAAATGACACAAACACTACAGATATACAAAGAACTACAAGTCTTTACTGATGGATATACAGTAAATGAATTAATAATCAGTTAATAATCTAAAGATTTATGGCCTGACAACCTTGTTGACCTTTTACTTCATAATAGAAATATCACAACACAAGATTTCTTTTACTGAGTCACGGAGACTGCAAAAATATGAGGATTAAAGTAAATTCCTCTCCCTTACAGTTTAAGCTTAGCCATTGGTCGGTTTTAGTTTGTTTTTGTAGAGCACCACACAGACGTTCATAAATCCCACATGAAAAATGACGCGTCTAAGAAGTGCTGACAGTAGCTAGTGCCTCTTCCTTGTGGCTGTCAAACTCGTTTTTTTCTTTTCATTTCGTTTCATTTCTCCTGCAGGCCCTTTGTTACATTTCTTCTCAGGATTAAAGAGAAACATTGTGCGTCTGTCAGTCAAAAACCAAAATATACTTCACCGGTGCTACACCCAACACTTGGAAAAATATGCTGTGCCACGGCAGGCTTTTCTTGTCAACAACTGCACACTCACACACAGGTATGCTACCTGACCAGTGCTCCTACCTATGGTTATATAAAAAAAAAAAGCAAAGGCTATAAATATAATAATAAATAATGAAGTACGCAAACTGACCTACTGCAAGAATATATGACGGGTAAAGATGATTAAAGAGGATTAAAAGTAAAGAAAGAAATTAAAATAAGTAGGTCAGTAAAAATAGTGGCCGTGATCAGCCTGAAATTGGATTCTTATCAACTCTAAGTTCACCAGCTATAAAACACCAGAGGGAGTATTTTTTAAATATTAACAATTATTTTATATTTTTGTTGTAGCTGACTGAAGATAAGTGGGATAACTTACAAATGACTTAAGTCTTAGCATCTCACCTTTTGGGAGCAAACACATGAAAAACCAAGGACACGAACTCCCATCATCCTCTGATATGTTAACACGCTAAACCAACATTGTTCAGATGCTTTCTAGTGGGATACACAAGCTTGAAGGTGTTCAAGCCATACATTTCAAAACCGATCAACAATAAAAGATGGATCAATGTTCTCTTACATACATCTTACATCTTTACATACAAGGTCTTGAATAATGAGGCCCCATCTTATCTTAAAGACCTCTCAAAACCATATCACCCCTTTAGAGCACTTGGCACTCAGACTGCTACCTTGTGGTTCCTAGAGTATTAAAAAGTAGAATGGGAGACAGACACTATCTCTACTTTTAAGATTAGGCTTTAAACTTTTGTTTTTGCGACAGCATATAGTTAGGGCTGGATCAGGTGACCCTGAATCCTCCCTTAGTTATGCTGCCATAGGTCTAGGCTGCTGGGGAGTTCCCATGTTTCTTCTCCATTCACTTTTCTTCACCCAGTATGTGTTTTTACACTTCTCCGCATTTGTAACAATTCTGCAAATATGAGTGGACCATTATTCCTCCACAGAGCTGTAAAAAACTCATCACTTATCACAAAAAAAGTTCAAAATTATAGTAAAAAAAAGAGATCGGATAAAAAGAAAATGTAGAAAGGAGAAAATCTCTACAATTCAAATTCTAAATATGACACAATGTGAAGCTTGGGTCCTAAAAGAATGCGGGTTTTGAGCTGAAACGTGGGTTAGACAACACGTTCAGCAGTGTGTCCACTAAGCGGTTGGGACTCATTAATTATCCACAGCCACTGACGTTTGGATGACTTCTGCATCAGAACTGGAATCCAGTTCTGCATCAGCTGAACACCCACAGGAATAACAGATTCCCTCAGCAAGAAATATTGATGCATTCCAAACAGCTGGCAGTTCAACATTCAACCCACAGAAACGTTCCTTCACAGTAACATGTCCAGGATTACACAACCAGTGTTGTCCCTCCATAATTCATATACCCACTCTGATTAACTTTCACTCTGTGACACCTACTCAGCCACAACAATAAAAAAAATATTGATTAAAATCTTGTTAGAATACAAAGCTCTGCTGGGAAACTTAGTTCCTGCCAATAGTGTGGATGTCACTTTGAAAAGTACCACCCACGTAAACAGAGACAATTTGTTAGAGGCAAAGCACAAACCCCAGTGTGGCAGTATGGCCTCACAGCCACCGGACTGCAAAGGCACATCACAAAGATCCTAAAGTGTCAAAGGGTCCCCCCGATCCATGGAGGCCACGGGGGAAGACTCCACAGCACATCCCAAAAAAGTCAGACAAGACCCTGTGCAGGTTATAAGTTTGGCATCAGTTGTATGAAGAATGACGCTCCCCACGTCATCTTAACTAAAACTTCTCCACAACCTCAAACAATAGCCTCTGACATTCATGTATTACAAGTGCTGACTGTTACTTCAGCTGCTGTTGTCCGGTCATCATCTTTGGGTTTCTATGAGCATGCACATCTGTATTTTTGTGGATCACATCTCTTTTGAGACGTGAGTTCAATTGTATAATGTAAAGTTAGCCAAAATGTGACATACGTCCTCAGTAAGAGGCATAAATAATAAAAATGCTGTGCAGTCTCACATAAAGATGGATGCCTGGTATGTGGGCTTGGTGCACCTAAGCAAAGGGGAGGGATCGGGCTATTTTCTGCAAGAAAATCAGCATACTAACACTTTGATTTGTATCTTATTTCCATGCTCTCCGATTTTTGCCACTCGGAGCTGCTGAACTCACACATTAACCAGTTTTAACACATGAGGCCTTTAAACTTACCAGATCAGGTCAGTCGTGTATGGAAAAGCACACTGTGAGGTGTCCTGACACAAATGATAGCAAATCGAACAATCTAATATTTTTACTCATAGTTTACACAGAAGAACAAAACTTATAGGAATCTCTGCCTGTTGTGTGGTAACACACAGTGAGGGGGAAACTAAACGAATTAATGTTCACGCGG